TCAAACTAGATGATATTTGTTTACATCTGATTTTAATTATGATTAAAACAGAGATCTTCGTTCTTATATATACTTCTCAAATTATCTTCTCATGTATAAAATTTATAAAAAAACAGCCAAGAAAAATATTAATTGTTAATAAATAAAGCTGTGCAAACTAATGCATCGTTGACGTCAAATGTATTCCCATATATCAATGATATAGAAACTTTTTTTCTTCTTTTGATTATTGTCCTTGCTTTATGCCTCGTTGACATATGAATAGTATATTGCTTTTTATGTGTACATGCAATTATGATCAGTCAATTACAATAAAAATAAGAGCCGTTTATTTACAAAAGACTCCTTTTTTGAAATAAATACATTTATTTGATTAACATAATGAAATTTTTTAAAAATAAATAAACCGTCTTAATTTAATATTTTGTTTCGATATTTTAATAGAATAAAGTTTATACTTAATCAAGAAAAACAAATTTTTCTCTTATAGCAATAGAATATGGATTCATTCAAAACTTTGATTATATTATCATAAATATATATCTTTATAATTGGTTTATAGTGATTTATAATCTCAGAAACAAGTTTATCATATCCTAAAACTTGAAAATATTAACTGAAATTCGAATATAATAATAATTACTTAAAATCTCATATAAAAATTAAATACAGACAAGTTTTGCTTTTGTTATTCTTAACTACTATTAATATGTAACAAGATTTGTTTATTTTTGAATGAGAATTATTTTTTTTCTTCTGTGCAATGAATATAAACTAACAGCGACAGATGTTGATAGATAACTGAGTTTAAAGGCGAATGAACATCTATCGCAATGGGAAATAAGTAGAAACCTAATGCCTATTATTGATTAGATTAGTTATACAAAAAGCTTACTCATCCAAGAAAAAATATATATATATATATATATGAGTTTTATAAAGAAAGCAAGAAAGAAAGAAGAAAAAAAGAGAGCATATTAAAAATAAGATAACGTCCTGATTTTTCTTTCATTTGAATAAAATCAGTAAATGGTTTGTATTTCTTATTTTATAATGAATAAACATGAGCCGAGAGAAAACAGATTCAGGGTGCGATTTTTCATTAGTTCTAAGAGACGACTACTCAAAATTACATTGACCTAAAGCCATTGACACCAAGAAAACTAGAGCCAAAAAAAAACCAAGGACCATTAAAATTTCTTTTTGTTTCTAATTTTTTTTTTAAATATCAGTTCAGTTTTCTATGATGTTGACAATTTGACAAATCCATTTTCTTTGCTTTTAGGTTGTAACTTAATATCAATATTTGACGTTCATGCATTTTTTTTCTATACTTTCTAGCTTTATAATCACGGAACGACCTATATTAAGTAAGGGTTATTTTTGGAAGCATTACTTTTTTCTTTTTTTTTTCTTTTCTTTTTGTGAATGTCTAATTAGTTCCATAGTTCTTTAGAAAAACTAGTCTCTAATGCGTATGTAAAAAAAAAAAAAGAAGTTGTATTTGTTAAATTACTACTGAGAGTCATGCTTGCATATAAATAAATGCTTTTATAATGAGCATGGAAGAGAAAAAAAATGATAAAATATGTTAGAAATAAAATAGTAGCTAGGTATTATCGGTATGAAAAAAAATTTTTTTTTTTTATTTATTTTTCTTCTCTGAAATCATTATTCGATAAAACAGAATTATTTTTTTTTCTATAAAGTGCTTTTCTTTTATATGTGTCTTCTAGGAATGATTGATAATTTCGTTTCTTTTTTTAAATAGACATGTTTTAGTTCGAACAACTGGCATATAAGAGTGTTATTATTTCAACACTTTGATCGAAGGTCTTGCATACACATGTGTTAACGAGTCGATAAGAAGAAAAAAGAAAAGAAAAAGAAGAATATAGAGTTGATGACAAAAACTAATGTGCTAGAATATGAAGACAAGATTTTCCTTTCTGATTAGCATATAAACTATTCATGAGATATTTCTATTCGTTAATCTAGAAAATAGAAAAAAAAGAAAACCGGAACTGTTGTTTTTGTTGTTGTTGTTGTTGATCAACTTTTAAAGTGCCAGACAGATGGATAAACATACTAATCAATAACTGCTAGTCAATATAATGACAAGAATGTGGAGTGCAATGAGTAAATAAGATCTATTTTTGTTTTGCTTCTTTCACTAATGACCTTTATTTAAACAAGTATTGCTATTCTTTATAGTTAATATTTCTATGTTTCACGCACAGCAGCTTGTCTAATGAAGCTATTTATGCTTTCGGTTATCTTTAATACGTCTACTAGTTGATTGAACAACAACAACAACAACATAATAGTTATAGATACATGACGATGATCTATGAGACATAACATAAGAACAACTGTTCGTCTATAGATTGAATATAACAATACATATTTTTTATCAATCGATGAAAATGAATTCCATTGGTGTTATTTTTCTTGTTGTTGTTATTGTTATTATAAAATGTCTTCAATATTACTATTTGTTGTTTTTACTTCTACGGACATCGTATCTCGGCAAATTCTATAGAAAATCAATTCTATCTTATTGTATGTTAAAGACTCTTGTGTATATTAGCTATGACGGGGATGTCAAAATGTTACAAGAACATACAGCTGATCATTGAATATAATTTATTTTTTATATAGTGTGCGTGTGCGTGTGTATGTGAATGTGTGTGTGCTTCTCGCATACGTTACTTTTTTTTGCTGTTCTCTACATTCTTTCTTATTCTCTTTTTTTTCTTTCTCTCTCTCTCTCTCTCCTTTCGCCTTTATTTTTTTCACACTATTGGATGGCAAGCCCATAAAGCGAAGAAATCGGCCGAGTATTCCGTTACTATTCTCGAGCATTGCATTCACATATATACACACTACGTAAATTTGTCGGCATCACTTCTCGCCCTCAAATCGATTCAATTTTCATGTGATAGACATTGTGCGCATTTTTCTTTACAATACCTTATTTTACAAAAAAAAAGGAAAAAAGAAGAACAAAGAACGAAGAGGAGGTAAGGTTTATCTCTTTCTCGTTAAACGTCTATAATATGCATACACACACACACATATATATATATATATATATATATATTTGAAACACTTTTTCAATTGATAGAAATATTGAATGAAAGTGTATGGGGATATTATGTAAGATATTGAGAAAGTGAAATGATGTTGACAGTATATAGACCGTTTGTCACATACACACATATATATGTATAAAGCACATCCGATCATAAAAACTATTTGCATATATGTCAGTTAGCCATAGGGAACATATACAAGTTGAGTGCCATCATAAAAATAAGAGACGTTAATAGTATCAAATGAAAAAAGAAAAAAGAATTTAAATAAATGCTTATTTCCTGGCCGATTTCCCTGTCGGTCAACTTCATTGAAGAATATTTAAAGATTGAAAGAGTAGCAATTGACCTACTTGTGAGATGATGATGTAATCTTCCTAACTAACTAACTAACTAACTATTATCAGATGTATTCGTTTTTTTATTTTATCACATATATACTTTCAAAGACAATTCGATTGAAAGAAAGAGATTAAGACGAATCTATTGAACTTCACATACAATCATCTATCTACTTTTTTTTTCTCTCTCAATCTCATCCTGAAGAAAGGTCAAAAAAATTATCTCGCTTGACGTTAGTAAACGATCAAAATCCCGTATGCTCAGATAACCTTGGCATGTTCTCTAGGATAGTATATAATATTGTTACATACACTTAGTATTGGAGCAATATGATATGAATAGTTATGTCTGTAAAGATAAAATAGATGTTACTACATTCCCTTTTTTTTTTCTCTATCATCAAATAAGTTATTTTCTTTCTATTAATGAAGAAAAATCAATCATAAACAAATGTAACAATCAAATTCTCATTAAAGATATTTTATTTTCTTTCAAGATTATGTCTCGATCTACATAATCATCATTACCACACAGACTTGCATGTATATTGTTATTATAATAATTCTTGTGTTCATTACTATATATAACATACATTAGATTGAATTTATACACATATGCCTCATATAAAAAAGACTAACGATCTATAGAAGTGAAGTGGTACTTGTCGTGTATATGTGTATGTTTTTCTTTCTTATATAAAAAAAGAAACAATCATGAAGCATAGTATCGATACCCAAGTGAATAAATCATGTATATTGGGTGTGTCGATGTCATCAATTAGATTCTCGAAATACATATATACATATATATATATATATATACATAATACATGTGCGTGTATATAATGTATGAATGATAGTTGACATGTCTGCTAATCATGGATGTATAATTTCTCGATCATCGTTGTATCTATTTCTTTACTTCGTCTTTTTTTTCCTTCTTCTTCTTCTTCTTCTCAATGTCATTTAACATGCATAAAACCCTGTACCGAATCTAATGATGATCTATACACACTATGCACGAAAGCAGTTCGTTTCTCTCTGTCTCTCTCTCACGGCTATGCACTCATATATTTATATTATAAATGTGTTGTGCGCAATGCAATGACTTGCTCTATATGTAATAATCATCATTATCATTGACAAGGAAAAGTATTTACTGGACCATATAAAATGTGAGAGTCTTCCTCGTTATTCAGCTTTTTTTTCTTCTTCTACTGCTCTTCTTCTGACTTTAGACGCTTTCAATGCATCTCTATCAATGATTTTGCTTGTATATAACGAATGCAGACAGGCATAACATACCTAGTCGATATATGTACACTTAGAGCGTATATGTGTGCATGTAGAAATTCAGCGATAGATTGTATTATATTAACAAGCCACTTGAAAATTGTAGGGGAGAAGGAGAAGAATACAAAAAAAAGGAGACGAACATCTATACGTTTTTTTCGATCGAATATTAAATTGAACAGTGATGCATATAGTGAGGGTCAAAGGATGAAAGAGAATACTACTACTATGTATTATACGGATTTATGATTATAGTTTTAGTTAAACGAAAATGGATACAATGAAATTCATGGTTAAAAGTTTATTGGGTTTATTTATTTTACTTGTTTTGGTTAATGCAGATGTTGGAAAGTCAAATATCAATTTAAATGAGCAATGTCAGGTAAAATAGAAAAAATGATAGATTAGAAAAAGATTTATTTTAGAATTCTTTCATGATTAATAGGCTCTTAAATGTAATCCATCGACAGAAATCTGTCGTATTGATCCAAATTGTGATGATAGTAATCAAGATGATGTACCAAAATGTGTTTATTGTGTTTCAAAAAATGATTTAAATCAAAATACGGTTTCTAAAACTTTACTTGCTTCATCAATCATACAACATCAACAACAACAACCATTAGCACCTCGTTTATTAGCAAAATCAGGTGGTTCAAGATTACTAGCTGATAATCGTGGTGGACCATCGTCATCTTCCACTACAAGTGCAACATCAATCTTAAATAATAAGAATAAAACATCTGATGAATTATCTTATGATGATTATTATGAATATGATGAAGATGAAAAATCTGATAAAAATGAATTTGGTGAAGAAGATGAATATCTTGATGATTATGCCGAACCATTAGATTCTGTTGTTCAAGGAATTGAACCTATTCGTAAAATGGGTATTTGTCCGAAAGTTGTTGAAGCTATTGGTGATTGTGATCCATCGAATATTATTCAATCTGATTGTCGTTTTGATACTGATTGTCCGGGTGATCATAAATGCTGTGAAGCAGCATGTGGAAAACGTACTTGTAATCTACCTATTACAAGTAAGAACATGAATTTAATTAATAGATTTATATCAAGGACACATTTTCATCTGCCCTTTCTTTTATTAATAGTATTAAAAACTCATAATTTATTTGCGTAATAACAAAATAAAATCTTCACACACAGAAAAAGATTATAGAAACTAAAATAATCATAGAAATATCTTTCGCATAACTGACAATAGTATTAAAATCTAAACATTATGAGAAAAATTTGATCAGATTTTGTTGCGTTTTATTTAAAAAAAAATTTTCTCTTTTTTTTGGTTTCTATTGTGATAAATGTTAAGTTCGTGAGAAATTTCTATTAGGTCAATGACCTTCGATGATTAATCGATCAAATCAGAACTTCATATTGCTCTTTTTTTTATCTAACAGAAAATCTAAATTTACATTATATTAATCAATATTTGATTAGGCAATCGAGTGAAGTGGAAATGTAACAGACAACATATATCGATTTTAATAACATTTTTTTTTCCATTATCGAAGAAAGTATTGATTACTTTGGAAAAAAGACATGAATAAAAAAAAACCGTATGGCATTCATATAGTCTCTTTTATATTGATAAAATTTTAAATTATTTCATTTAAGTATCCTTGAACTGCTTTTGTATGTAAATAGATTTTAAAAAGAAAAAAATCAATAACCTTGAATCAAATCATAACATCATTTCACTTGTCTGAACAACTATTCTATATTTAGCATGTCCTTAATTGAGAAAAATACATATATGCTTTGCATAATTTATAATATAGTTATTAAGAATAAATGCACGATTATTGAATAACGAGTCATAAGTTTCTTTTTTTTCTTTTCAGCAAGTATTTCTGTTTGTCCATCATCATTTACGTGTACACTTAATTGTCAACTGGGATATCGAACTGATTCTAATGGATGTCTTTTATGTGAATGTCAATCATGTCCATCAATGGACCAATGCAATAAAAATTGTCCATCGGGATATTTAAAAGATTTATTTGGTTGTGATATGTGTGAATGTAGTGATCAATGTCCACCATTTTCTTGTGGTATTCTTTGTCCAGTTGATGTTGGTTTTGAAAAATCTGCTGATGGTTGTCCATTATGTCAATGTGCAACCACAAAATCAAAACCGACAGAATATACATCGTCTTGTCAAGTATAATATTTAAAAGAAATGCATTTTATTTTTAATTAATTTTTTTCAATTAGAGTGATGTTCATTGTCCGCCGGGTTTTCGATGTCTTAATGATGCGCATAATGTGCCTATGTGTCAAGCAGGTATAATAAAGTATTCAATTTCTTTAAACATTCTATGTTAATTGTATACATGAGTAATTTTTTAGTCTTTCTTTATGTTTGTTTAACGCATCACTACTTTTCCGCTTCTTTTCATTTTCTCTTTTTACGTCATCACATTTACATGAGAAAAAACCATGTTATCAAAGAAAAAAAATTTCCGACGATGGATCACGCAAAAAAAAAGAGTCAGTAATCGGGCAACTAAGGGACAAAAACGAAATAATCTATTTGTTCTACTGACTATAGATCGAATAATATGATAATACATCGAATTATTAATGCAAAATGAGTCTTGCATGACGTATTTTGTAAAATAAAAAAAAAAAAAGCATTGATGAAAATATACCTTATTCGATGAATAGTTTCTTTTCTTTTCTTTTCTTTTTTTTTATAACTATGGTGTAGGAGGAGCAAACTCGACATTTTCTTCCTATAAAAATAATCCTGTTTCGAGAACGAGAAAAAAAGCCCAGTGAGCGATGTGTCGTGTCTTCGTACGATGATATAAGTGGGACAGAGGGAGAGCGAAAAAAAAAAATAGAAAAAAAAGAAGGAAGACGAGCTACGCTGAATCGTCTCTTGTATTTTTTTTTGCCCTGCCTTTCTTCTATCATTGCGTTGGCTTGACATATCCGATTGAATCGTCACTTTTCATTTATTGTCGATAACAACAACAAGCAGTTTTTGCATTTCTTTTTCCTTTTCTTTCCAAGGAGAAATTACTAAATTTGTTATAAATCTCTGACAACTACTACAATATTCTTTCATGATTAAGTTCTTAAGTCTTATTTTGACGAGCTTATTGCTCTATCATAATATTCATCAGGTTTCGCCATATTTACAATCAGCAATAGGTTTGAAATCTAAACAATTTTCTTCTTATCTATATTTCTTTTTTTTTTAAATTATATTTATTTAGTTTCTGAACCTATTGCATCACCATCACCAACAGAAGAATGTCCGAATGATTTATCTAAAACTTGTAATCTTCAATGTTCAAATGGAAATTATTTACTTGATGCAAAAGGATGCCCAACATGTGCATGTGCTTCGGATACATCTAAAGACCGTATTGGTCAACCACCATATGAATGTCCAAAGTATAAATGTGCAGCTGATTGTGGAGATGCTGGTTATGTATATGATGAAAATGGTTGTCGAACATGTGAATGTGCATCAAAACAAGCAAGAGACGCTATAACAAAACCAAAAGTTGAATGTTCACGTGTAATGTGTCGTATGTACTGCGTTCATGGTTTTAGTCGTGATGAAAATGGATGTGAAATCTGTAAATGTAATAAATCTCCACAGCCATGTCCTCAATACAAATGTGAAAACAAATGTTTAAATGGCTATCGAAAAGATTATAGTGGTAAGATAATTGAAAAAAAACATAGTTCTTTTTTTACTCTATTTATTATAAAAATTTTTGTTCAAGGTTGTCAAACATGTCAATGTGAATGTCCATCATTAACTTGTACAAAAAGTTGTACAAAAGGGTTTAAAAAAGATGAAAATGGTTGTTTAATATGTTCATGTGTAGATGATGAAACAAAACCAACAATTGATGATGGTTGTTCACCAATGAAATGTAATTTAGATTGTAAATATGGTTTTGAACGTGATCGATCTGGTTGTCAATTATGCTCATGTAATCGTTGTCCATTATATACATGTCGAATGTTCTGTATGTATGGTTTCAAAAAAAATAGTGATGGTTGTGATGTATGTGAATGTGATTGGACACCTGTTGCAGAAAATATTCAATGTAGTACGGTAAAGAAACGAGAAGAAATTGAAATGTTTTTTTTTATTATTATTTCTTTTTTTTATTTTATAATAGAGAATTCCATGTACGGGTAATCGTGTATGTAATTTAAATTTGAAATTATGTGAATTAGTAAACCCGGATAAAGTGAATTGGTTTGTTTATGATTTTGCTATTGAAACTGAATTTTTTCATGATCCTAAATTTGTTAATGCATTTAAAAAGTAAAGTAGAATTTAAAAATTTTTTTTTTCGGAATTATTTCGAATATTTGTGTTTTTTTTGTTATTTAGTGGCTTAATTAATAATATTGCAACGAAATATAATTTGGAACCAACACAAATAACTGTATCATCAATTGAACATCATGGTATGGCATCATTTCAAATAATGCCATTTTATACTGAAGATACGGATGATTTTCAAAAGAAAATGGATCAAATCGATGTTGATGTATGTTTTAATTAAATCAATATTGATTTATGGAAATATTTTTTTTTTCTTAGTTAAATTCACATGAATTTCGTAAAGTTTTACCAGCTGTTGCACGTGTAATAGAAAACGATACACACAATCCAAATGATTCAAAATGGAATCGTTACGTAAAAAACAATCCATTTTTTACACTTTATGTAGTTGCTGTTTTACTTGGACTTGCTGCAGTTATTTTGGGTGGAGTATTTATTCGCGTAAGTTTCAAATTATTTTCCTGTTTAAATCTCATTTTTGTTTTGTTTCTAATAAAAATTAGATGTGTCGTCGACAAATCAAACATCCAGGTCGTTCAGAAGTAAGTTCAAATTATTGTGTGTTGTTTTTACTGAATCAAATAATTGTTTACTTGTTTTTTAGTCTAAAACACCTATATATGATACATCATATCATCCAGCACCAACAGAAGATGATCTTTATCATGCTGTGCATGCACCTGATGGTACAGCATATGTTGTCGTTGAAAGTGACGATATTCAAACAACTAACGATAAACGAGCACTTGTTTAAATACAAAATAAACATTGGATCTATTTTTTATTTCGACTTAATATATATTGAATCTTATTTTCTTTTTTTTCTTCACTCACCGTCATACTTATGCTTCTTTTTTTCTTTTTTTTTTCTAATTTTTATTATTACGGTGACGTTGTCATTCAGTTCGTCTTAATGTCGTTCCTTAATTGAAAATTATTTCTATTTGTTTTGTACTGTACAAAGGTTTCTTTTTTTGTCTGCTCACATGTTGTCGTAATTGAAAGATATATATGTACGTTCAATTCTTTTTTTTCTCTTTTTGTATGTCAAAGTCTGCGCCTAGTAGAAAACAAATAGAGAGTATTTATGTATTGCCTTTTGTTATTGTCATGTAGGAGTATAACTGATCAGTATTTTCTATTCTTAAAATATGTTTCTCGGAGAGGAGATTATTCCACTTAGTAGATTTACTAATACTTACAGTAGCTGTCAAAATTATTCAATCATTCGCATTACATCAAATTTGTTTTAAAACTAATTGATGTAATAGGAGTTGGTTGACTAAACTTGGCATCCACTGTATATGTTGGGAAATTGAAAAAAACAGAAAAAATAACATTGTTAACAAAATGACTGAATGTCTAGTGACGAAGCGTCTTAGTTAGTGAGGATTAAAGGACTCTGTAGAACATTTTTTAAGCTGACAAAAAATTCATGATGTATTGTGACATATCAAATTAATTAATTGATAATAGCAACTCATCTAAAATTATAATTTCTTAATTGAGACAATTATTTGTGAGATCTTAATCCCACTTTTACTTTATTTCTATAACCGTATCTCTCTTCCAAATCATTCTCTACGCAATAATGTAACACTATATATCGAATGATAACAAGCGTTAGAAAATTCGTAATTGAAAACTCCATAAAAGATGAACAAAGGAAGGAGGAAACATTCATAGAACAACACGAAAGAAACGGAAAACTCCAATGTATATGAAAGGAAAAGAAAAGTCCATAGTGCATGACTAATAATAAGAGAAAAGAAGAAGAACATAAGTTTATAGGTATAATCCTATAGGAAAGAGAGAAAAATCCTTATGACTATATCTGAGGACGATACAGGTCATAACATTATTATTCAGTGAAAGTCATGCATAATCTAAAAGCAAAAGACATCAAATGACATATATTCAATACGACAATATGAAAGATTTTCGTACGAACTAGATGGTATACAGCATAAGCCCACTGTGCAAAACACATTTCAAAACTGAACTCATTATAAAACTTTCGAATTAGTCAAAATGCCAAGGTTAGCGAAATATACATCAAAAATCGGATGGTGTGTTAATTGAAAATCAATAGATATTGTATCAAAGACTCATGAATTTTATAATACTCTGATACAGAAGAGTTCTTGACTCAGTTTTCATTGTTTTTTTCTATCTGTAATTTATTGTAATTCTTTAGTACTGAGAGAAATAAAATACAGATGTCAAGAAGTTTTTCGATATGACAAAAACTTTCCAAAGATGACAGCAACATTAGACCTAATGAACACTCACTGTTGTTGCTGCAATACGTTTTTTTTTCATTATCTAGAAGAAAAACAAGGTTCTCACTTCAAGATTATCATTTTGTGAACAGAATCAAAAACAAATAGAACTTTGTAATAACGTTTGAACGAAAATCGTACGATTCTCGAATCTTTCAATCATTGCGACACAAATATGACAAGAAAAAAAAACTTGTAACCAACTCCTGTACAGTGCGTCGCAGTGTAATGAAAATAGAGAAATTCAGAAATAGTCGTAGACAATAATCTGTGTGAAGTGCTCAGAATATGCTACTACAAAATTCATTATGCTGTTTGCATGTATCATAAAAAATACTCATTATCAGTCTCTCCCATTTTTATTATTGTTAATTATTGTATTACGAAATATCATCAGAATTTGTCATAACATGGAATCATGTTTTTCTTTTTCTTGTAAATCTCCTTCGATATTATATTTCATATTTTTTTTATTAAAAATAAATTAAATAGAAGAAAAAAAAATAAACGTCTTCTATAATTTCATTCGTATTCTAATCTTTAGGGTATAAATATTATTTTAAATTTCGTAATCAAATAAGACTAAGTCTTAGTTTTTTTTCTTCAAATAAAAGAAAATTGGATAGAAATTTAATCATAAGTTTAACCTTGAGAATGCTTGCATATAAATAAACGTATTAGTAGAATTTTATCTATGGTAAGAGGTAAATAGGATTTGAATTCAAATACTAAATCAATTGCATTATAGAAACAAAAACATATCTTTTTTCATTTTAATTATTTATTGATAAATAGATATGAAAAGTTAGAAGACTTGTCTTTTTTTTGTCTTTTCTTATTTTTTCATCATTACGTGGTTATTCATTTTACAATCACATTCATAATAACTGAAGGAGATGTGATTTGTGCTGATACCATTGTTATCGATTATGTTGTTGATAGATGGCCATCAGAAAAATCTCTAGCAAATATATATCATCAAACAAAAATAGGTGGTGGTAGTCCATTTAATATCATTAAAGATTCACGTTCAATGGATAAAAATTTACTATTATCAATTAGGTAATGATGATAATGGTCAATGGTTAATAAATGATTGTAAAAAATATTGAATATTGATACTGATCAATTGCATATAATAGATGATGATACACCAACATCATATACATATGTAATAAGTGTTGAATCAACATGGTATTAAGTCATTATTTAGTGATATACATTTTGATTTTAATTATTTAGTTAAAGAAAAGCATTGTACACTTTATTTTATTTTGATTTTTTAACATTACTTGATAGATTAGATCAAATTGTTAATAATGAAACAATAACAGTACAAATACTTAAAAAAGCTAAATAATTTGGTTTAGAAACAATTATTCATTTTGTTAGTGTACATAATCTATTATATACTAAAATAGCTCAATTAATGTTATCATATATTGATCATTTAATTTTAAATGAAATTGAAATAGACCTTATCCTTAAGCAATCATTTCAACAAGGAACTATTTCACAAATTGCACAAGCAGTGAGGATATTAATTGAAAATTATGATGTACAACGTACAATAACAATTCATTTTGATCAGGGTACTGTTTGAGTTAGTCGAGAAAATAAGTTGAATATTGAATGTTCTTTTTTCAAAGATCACTTTATCTTCCACAACGATATATTCAAAGTGTAGTATGTGCTGATGATGCATTTGCTACTAGTGTTATTTATGAAATTTGTAAAAAGTGATCAATTCAAGACCGATTACATTGTGATATTTGTGTTGCTTTTATGTGTTTAAGAGATCTAACATCATATAGTGGTATAGGAAGTATTGAAGAGTGTTTGCCATTGAAAGAAACATTTCGTTTTCGAATATTGGAATCAACATCTTATATTCATGATATTGAAAATTAAATAATAATGTTAACCCTCTTGTTGTCGATTGAGTGATTAGCATTGAAGAAAATTTTTATTTCATAGATAAATTTTTCCCTAGATTTGTTAAAGAAAATCATAGTTTTAGATAGTGTCTATATTATTTAATAAATGGTCGAAATCAATAAGTACAACGGAATTTTTTTTTGTTTAGAATCTATTATTTGGTAGATTGTCATTTGTTAATAATACGAATTTTTGAAGATATTGAATGTTTGTTCTTATCCAGATGAAATTATTATTAGCATTTGAATTTTGACATTTGGAAATTGATATATATCTTTTCTTTTCATATATTTACTGAAGTCCTATCTCTTTTAATATATGTGCGAAGTATTTAGCCGATCAGTTTAGATGATACTTATGTGAAAAGTTTAAGCTAGTTTTTAACGTGATGACATCTTCTTTTTCAATTAAGTAAGCCATCTTTGATCTTGACAAGTTGAATAAAATTTAAAAAACGAGATGAGAAATGTCCTTACACTTTGCTTTCTTAGTTATTTTAACTGTTTTGCCTCCTGAGTACTAATCCACTAGAGTAATAGCTTATGCAGTTGTTGATTAGAACACTGATATAGTTAGATTTTGTTGAAGTCATTCTACTGTGTAGATGAAGAATGAACTATAAATGATTCCATTCGTCTTGAATGATATGAAAATTGAATTTCTTCTTAATATGATTTTTTTTTCGTAGTTTTGTTATTTTATCTATATAAAGCTGAGAGTCTACTTATGAATACTTCTTTGATTGTTTTAGATATGAATTAATATCAAAAATAGAATAATTCTAGAAAAAAAATTGCATGTTACTCATTACGAATGGTTCACAGAATGACCTAAATTGTCACCAAAATGCTAGTTTCGTTTCTGTAATCAAGAGATTTTTAAAAATTATTTTACAGATAAATTATGTCCTTTGCTGTATATATCAACCTGACAAATATTCAGATAATCAGTTTTCAGAAAAATATTGTTTTCCTCCTCGTAAATCTTAACCAAGGAGTCATGAAAAGAAGTTCAATTTTTTTTTTACAAATTTGTAGTTTATTGAAGACTCTAGGTAATATTCAGGGAACGTCTCAATCCAGTACTTAATTACTCGAAATAAATAGGTTTTTATAAATGAGTCAAAAATGACCCAACAAGAGTGTATAAAATGAAGATAAATTTATATAGATTCTTTAATATATACAAATAACTGAATAATGAATGAAAAGGAAAAAATATCTATATAGAAAATAAAATTCTTAAAACTCATACTGTCGCTGTGAAAGTATCTGCCGGATGTTGATTAGCTCCGGTCTAGATGCGATCGGGAACCGGATACAGCTATTTAGGTCCTGTTCCAGATAGAGTATTAAAAAAAAGTGCCAGTCCGAATTCGGTTGCGAATAGTCGTATCCGTACGGAACACTACTGCCCATTTCAAAATAAAAGACACGTGGGCATTTTTTGAATAACTTTTGATAAGAGCAAGATAGAGAGCTGTGGTTTTTACCGTTGGAAAGAGCAGATAAAAACGCATCGAACCGTATAAAACAATGATTTTTAACTTGGATTTTTGAAACCTTTTGCAATAGTTGAACAAAAGAATGCCTTAAAAAAGACCTGACTTTTCCAGGAAAAACGAAAAAAACTCAAAAAAACTGAGGTTTTTTTACAGAAAACGCTCGCAAAATGGGCTATAATTATCGAATATAGTACCTAGAACTCGCAAACCAGTAAAGTTTCCACCTTCAAAGAGCAATAGTCTACTGTTTCAAGATGATAATGGATTACTACCTATTTTTGAGATAAACCTTAACAATTTTATATGAGTTGATGCGCTGAATCAGCCTCTTTGCAACGGTGAAAACCACAGCTCTCTATCTTGTTCCTATCAAAAGTTATTCAAAAAATACCCACGTGCCTTATATTTTGAAATGGGCAGTAGTCCTCAATTTGGTTCCATTTAATAATTTCTCATTGCAGCCCTAATATTACCAATTACAATGATTAATAATTATATTTAATATAGAAGAGAATAACTTGTGTAATAGAGAATAAAAAGACATACAAAAGTGATCAACATTTATAACGCGCAAGCACATTATATATAATGAAAAAAATTAAGTTATTTGCTTTTACTTAATGAATTTCGTTTTTTTTTTGAATTTTACTGCATTGAATCTCTAATTGTAAAACTTGATAGTGAAGCACAAGTGCATTACGATATGTGGTTATGAATTGCATGTTAATTGTTGTTCGCCTTTCGTATTTAATATGTGTAACTTAACAATGGTTGCTGACACACATCGTTTGGTTTAAGTTGAACAATTATGTATCTCATTTTTTATTTGAGGAATCATGAACGAACTGGATAGGAACTGAATATACGGTTATATATATATATTTTGTTATATCATAGAATGTAATTTTTCTATTTCGTGATTATCGATTTCTATTTTTTTGTTTTCCTTTTATATATTTTTCTATATATTTTCAAGATTTATACAATGTATTATTATCTTCGCTGACGATGACCCTACATAATACAAAGGTCGAAAATTTCAGATTTGTAAAATTAAAATTCGTATTGCATAATTCTTTTCTTTTTTATCATTCGTTATTAAGATAAATTACAAATTTATAATCGACAATGAACATATGCATTGCATATAAATATTGATAATCTCTGAATAATTTTAAGTAATTCAATGATTTCATTATGGTTAACAATAGTATTTATTCGATATAAAATTCTTCTATAAGATTTATAACTTGAATGCATACAGAAGAAAACGGTTGTAATACTCATGATGAAGGTTATTTTTGAAATAAATGAGTTGAAAAGATTCTTGTTTTTGTTTTTTTATTTACCGTCGTTTTACATCTTAGATTATTATTTCTAACTAAGAAAAAGAAGTATTCACAAACATGCAATTATATGTAAATATGTTATGTTTATTCTTCAGAAAAAAATTCTGCGTTAGTTTTCGTCATGAAGATCAAATAAGTTCGATGAGTCTGTTCTATGAAAACAAGAACATCATGTAAACTTTAAATTCAAATCCATTGCTTTATTTGTCTCATGAATAATATGTGTAAAAAAAAGAAGTAATGTGTTTTCGTGTTGTGTTGTTAAGCATTTGCAATAAAGTAATGAAATACTTTTAGTTGTCATATATTTTTAGTAAAGATAATCAAAACAAAATGTTATGATTATTTTTTTTTTGCTTGTTGTCTATCCTATCTTGAACAACATTTTTACATTCTTTATTTTTCCTTTGACAAAAAATAAAAAGATAAACATAACCCACATTCAATAGTAACAAAAAAATCAAATAAATTATTGATAAGTAAATCAATGTATCTATTAATATGAACTAGATATGTCAGATTGTTAGAGTATTTTTCCACGCACGAACGAGAGAATGGAATTTATGATAAAGTACAAAATCTCAAGCTTTCAAAATTGTATTATATACGTCAATTTCAGACAATAGTATTTTCTTTTCAAATAAAAGCGATGCAAGAGTAGATAGAAAAGAACCGAATTTTTTTTCTTAAGTATTCTTTGTATGCATTTGGTACGTAGCGTTGTCAAGAAGAAAATGAGTTGCTCATTCGTTTCTTATGTAAACCGAAGCAATTCAACATCTTTTAAGCAAATAAACAATATTCCAATGGCAAGAAACAAGTTTGCACTGTGTCCTTTTTTTTCTCTTTTTCTTTCTCTCTGGTATTGTCTTCACAACACAATATGTCGTCAACACCAGTTTCTTCGTCTGTAGCAGCACCAAAATCTGGTGTTCAATCAGCGAACAACAAAACCAAAGAAGAATCATCGAAAGAAGGTAACAATGCTACTACAACCGTACAACCATCATCTCGTCCATCATCGACAGTTAAACAGCCAGCAGCAGCAGCAGCAGCAGCAACTACTGAAACTCGACCTGGATCAGTAGCAAAAAATCCATCGCAAGATACTACTAATCGGCCAGCATCTGCTGTAAAAGTTGATCCTACTCTTACACCAGCTTCTGATGCAACAACTACTGCTCCAACAACTGCAAGACCACCATCAGCTAGCCAAAAACAGGATGCAACAACAACAAATAATACAAATACTGCTTCGACAACTTTAAGACCACCATCAGCAAATAAAAAGCCAGAAGATACAGTTGCGAACAATGCTACAACTGCTCCGCCAGGTTTAAGGCCACCATCAGCAAATAAAAAACCAGAAGATACAGTTGCGAATAATGCTACAACTGCTCCACCAGGCTCAAGGTCACCATCAGCAAATAAAAAACCAGAAGATACAGTTGCGAACAATGCTACTCCTGCTCCATCAAGCTTAAGACCACCATCAGCGAGCAATGCTGCTACTGCTCCATCAGGCTCAAGACCACCATCGGCTAATCGAAAACAAGAAGGAACAGCTGCAAACACTAGCATTGTTGGACAACCAGATACATCGGCTCCGGTTGATCCAAATGGTCCTAACACAACACAACCAATTATAGGACCACCACCATCAGCAGCTACAAAAGAAGCTAGTGGAGAACCTACTACTACTACTACTGCTACTCTTGTTGCTGCAGTTCCACTTAATAATTTACCAGAAGGTACAGCACCATCTGATAATAACAATCCAGTTTCAACTCCTGCTGCGCCACCACCTGACAATAACAATCCAGTTTCAGCTCCCGCTGCAGCACCTTCTATTCCATCACGTGCTAGTTCGGCATCAAAAAAACCTTCCACATGAACTTTTATTGGAAGCAAGTTTTCATTTATTTAACTATCAGCTTAACTTTATTCTTTTGCGCGTCTATATTTTTCTGCATAAAACTTTTTTTTTTCTAAAGCAAAATATATTTTAAAAAATTTTCTCTTTTTTTTCCTTTTTAATGAATAATCCAACGTTGTTTATTATTTTTGGTTCATTACTTATATCTTCTCTTGCTAGTATTATCTATATAGTATTCATTATAACATGCAAATCATCTACAAAAAAACAAACACTTGATCTCGCTGAAGATCTTCAACGAATTGATACAAGAGATCCATTAGCACCAAGATTTTCAGACAAATTTGTTATACACGCTTCTATTTCATGAACAATCTTATTCAACAAAATATACACTTTTATTAATTTCGCCATTTTGTATTCTAGAAAAAAAAAACAAAGTAAATCAATTTATTAATAAAGTCTCTGTGTATTTTATTATTTACGTCTAATAATGCCGTAGCTCGATTAAATGATGGATGATCACGCGGTATACGTTTACGTAAATTTTCCAATTGTACTCGATCACGAAGAACAAAAGCAATAGTCTTCGAAAGACAAATATATGAAAGAACAGAAAAATTTTAATAGTCTAAAATCATACACTTACATCCATGGCAACATCATAATTTTGAAATCTCTCTGCATAATGAATTCGTCGTCCGGGATCTTGTATCATATTAAGAAACCTTGTTGTCTGTTCACTTGCTTTTTCTTGTCCTTCACCACTAAATTTTATCCAATTGTAGACCATATCAGCAAAATTTTCTGGTGCTATGGTATATTTCTTACCAAAAATACTCTTTAACAAGAAAAAATTGTTCTTTGTTTTTTTTTTGTTTTTTAGAATAATAAAACAAATACCTGATGCGTTGCACAATGAATAAAATCGTCATAATGCATTCGTAAACCACATTGCATTATTACGGATAGTTTACCACATAGGATCATTTCTGGAGACATCTTTTAAATAAAATAAAATAGTTTTTCAATGTTAATGAAAAAAAAAAAATTTTTTACATGAAAAGTTCTTTCGATTTCTTTACTATAGTCGACAGTCTAAAACAAAAAAAAAAAGAAAAAAAGTATTTCAAAATAAGTTAGACTTACATTTTTATCTATATTTCGATTAAATTTTTGTCGTCGAAATTCTATATCAAACAGTGATTTATATGTATCAAGTACAGTTCGATTTTCAACATTAATATTTGGTTGTGAAGATAATATAGACTAAATAAAAAATAAACTTCATTTAAATAAATAAAACATAAATTTTTTAATTCACTCTTTGTAACTCTCGTTGTTTATGAAGTAAATGTTGATATTCAGCGATTTGTAAATGCCACCAAGGATGTGAGTTAATTTCACTAAATTTAATAAAAATTAGCTATGAAAAATAAGTATAAGTATCGAATATACATTGCTGCTTGATCTAATAAAGTCATTTTACTATTTATATCATTTATTTCACTTGCTTGTCGAATACGTATTATCTTAAATAATTAAATAAATTTATTTAAATCATCTGTTTTTTTTTCTATACTTACGCCGACTTCTTCATTTTTACCAAATTGTCTTTAAAAATCAATCAAACAAACAAACAAATGAATTAAACAAGCAATATATTAGATAAACTTACTTAAGCATTGATATATAGGAATCATTTTCAAGGTATAATTTAGCCATATTAAGATAATTTCTAACTGCTGATGGATGTTGTTTGATTAGTTCATAAAATATAGATTTTGATAATGTATTTTCAAGAAATAGTATTACCTGCAAAATACAAAGATAACTTTCAATGAAATCTAATGTTGATATCAATCTTTAGTTTTCGTCTATTTCGAGAACTGATAAGAGAAGTTCTTCAACCGACCAATCGCTTCTATGTGCATTATGTAGATTCAAATAAGCTATGAATAATCTGAAAAGAGTTCGTACCTTGAGCTTATTGCTGCGAAGATACTGCACTCTTACAATATTTTTAGATGAATGCCATAGTCCCCCTCAGGAAAACCAAAAAACAATTATTTTCGATGTTCTTGAAGGAACCACGGCATTCATTCAAACATACCGTAAAAGTACAATATATTCGCAGTAATAAGTTAAGGACATGAAGTCCTTTCAGGATATTCATAGTTCATTAAGGTCAACATAATGCATATAGTCTCGATTTAAAACTGACTTATCTGTTGCAGCACTGTCCTCGCGTGCCAAAAGATAATTCGTACAAGTTACATCTGGACACATTGTCCATATCTGATTCAATGAGAATTTATTCGGTCTACAAGGATCAATTCTAATGGATTTGCTAGAATAAATGTCTCTTTAAGTATTTTCTCAATATCACCATGAAAGTTCATCATCATGCCTCAATGTTTTTCTTTTCTAAATATTCATGACTCGATTTTCTACACGAACGAATCAAAAATTTTGTTGCAAAATATTAAGCAGAAATATTGGATAAATAATATTGCAAGACGCTAACATGCAGAGTTTACAAAAGTTGTTTTTTTTTAAAGTAATTCAACACAACGATAGAACCGGTCTGAAACTCATACCGATACTGGATTGACGGCTTGTCGTACTATTCCATCTGTCGATAGTGATATAAGATATATGACGACTGATCGATTTGAAACTCCTACGGGCACCGGTTCGATCTCTGATTCAACATTTTTTTCTAACTCTGTATAAATATAACATTATGACAGAGTACGTTTAAAAATATAACTGAGTGCGCTTTTCTTATGTTATATAGTGAAGTTTTTCTTTGACATGAACATTAATTTATTAAAACACGTAAAACTTTGCTTGTTTCGCATAATGTACTTGAATAAAGAGTTCTATTCAAATTCTGATATTTTAGTCCGGTGGATCATTCGTTTTTTTAAAGTTGAATTATGTTGACTGATTTTTTTCTTGTCAATTGATGAAAATTTTTCTGAAAGGTCCAAAATTACTGATTCAAAACGGTTATTTTGGTAAAGTTTGGAACAATAAATAATTTATTTACATGGTAAGCACCACTACAAAAATTTAGCTATCCTGATCACAAGATAGAGCTTTTCAAGCGCTACAACATAGCTATCTATTTTTTGTTTTCGTTAGTTTAAAACTCTAACGAATAGACTTAAACTGACTGATGCTAATTTGTGAAAGTTCGCTATATTGGAGTTATGGAGTATTATTTATTATCTAATTTCGTAGCAAAACTTATGATATGTTCTTGTAGAGAATTGAATCGTGAATCTTTTTTAAAGAAGGTTAAAGCATGATGAGATTATAAAATTGATACAAAGAAGTTCTCTAGATGAAAATCTCAAATTTTCAACATACGAAAAATCAATCCAAGTGTCTTAAATGCAGGATTGATATTAAAAACTGAGTTAAAAAAAATGAAAGTTAATAGAATCTTAGATTTAATCTCCTTAGGTTATGAAACTAATACTATGAAATTTAATAAATCGACATTTAATTACCGGCACGGTAACTTTTGGTGCATTAAATGAAACAGCAATACGTAATAACGATACTTTTCTATCATAATCTCGATAATTATATAAATTGACAGTCTAAAATTAGGAGAAAATTTTATGTAAAAAAAATTAAATGAGGTTTTCTCCATGATCTACTCTATTTTCCATCATATCTTTGCAAACCACTTGCATTTCTTGATCATATTTTGTAGTTCGATCTTTGATAATTGGTTTGACTAAAATAAATGAATTTACTAATGATAAATATTCATTTGAAATATATTACAATGTTGTCTTCTATCTGTTTGCCATTGACCATTAAAATTTTCATCATGTAATACAGCAGCAGAATGTGAGCGACTCATTGGATCAGCTACAAAAAAAATTTCAATTGCATCTTTAATTAATTTTAAAATCAAAAATAATACAATGTTGATGAGGAAACATTGCTTGTGCTGATGTTTTATGAGTATGAGGAACAGATAGTATTGATACATTATCATCTCGTCCTTCATTATGTTCTGAATCTTGCGAAGGATAATTTGAAGATAAATCATTTAATGATAATTGCGAGCGAGAAGATAAATTTGGAGTTACAACAAGACTTTGCTCCAATTTTTCTAATTTTTTACCAACTTTATGAAATATATTACGATTGAATTTTTTCATTGGCCTTGGAGTTTCATTAGCCATTATTGTCTTAAGAAATTTTTCTTTCAGATATACAGATAATAAATACAAGTGTCTCCTTTTGTTTTTCAATCTGTTTATATGAATGAATGCATGATTAGACACAACAAAACGTCAGCTGTCACGTTTCTTTTTTCTCTTATGCTGTTGCGCGTTAAAAAAAAATACACAAAAAAGACAACCATGAGTAAGTATCATAAATAAACTACACGCGTATATCATTATATACATTTTTCATTCTTACATTCAGTAAGCTAATCGAAAACGCACGACACTTTTCTTTCTTGATATCGTAACTTTAAACCGTGTGTTTTATGTAGTTTTTATTGTTGTCAAAGAATGATAAGAATTTAATGTTACTTTAACTTTAATATGTTATCTAACGGGTGGTACAGAAATTAGAGATCTGTAGCGGAGTCAATAATTTGTATAACTTGCCACAATTTTTTTCTGAATTTTTTTTTTGGGCTTCATTATCTATTTTTGGAACTTTTTTAAAGTTTTCTGATAATCACTAATCTTCTTCGATGTAAATTACGATTTATAGTTAATTGACTAACATTAAAATGTTTAGTTAATCTACGTTAACTAATACTACAACGATTGTCAACAGGTTTCACTAACTGTTTTAATTGTTTATTGGAAAGTTTTAGTGAACGATCGGTTCTTGGTAAAAATTTTATTTGTTCATATTTTAAATTCTTATTGAATATATTATAAATCGTTCTTCTCAAAATATCTTGTTTTGTAAAATAATTCACTATCGTTTTGCAAGATTTATTTTGATGCATCGATGTAACAATTGCAAATTCATTGAGCAAACTCTTCTCTTTTTTCTCATGTCATTTCGTTTATGAACGTATGACAAAAACAAATTCTACACAGTTCAAAAGAGAGGAAAATTTCTTATCAATAATTTTAAAAAAAATTTTCTTTCCCGAATTGTATTTATGAAAAAATATAAAGACATACATTTTGTACCATTACTTTTGCATCGGATATTATTTTGTACATATATATTGTTATTTAATAGTTATCACAATTAAACTTTTTATTCCTGTTTTTTTTTTGTATGTGTAACAACTTACAACTTTTTCAAATAAAAACCCACTGAAAAAGTGAATAAAATCAACAAACAACTTCAAATGTGCACAATAATAGTAATAAATATTCAACTGTTGGAACAGATAAACAAAACAAATGATATACAAACATTATAATCTTATGAAAGATGATTTACTTGTTGAATCAAATTTAGTGCTTGAATAACAGCCTGTGAGTCTTTCCGAACACGTGATGCACAATTGTCAATGATCTCAGCTGTATCATATCGACCTTGTCGTCGATAAAGTAAACTAAGACTTCTTAATGTTGTTGTTATTGCTGGTATATCAATTTCAATTGTTTTATACCAATTATTTTGTGTATCATTATTTCTTAATTTTGTTGATGATAATGATGGAAAATTTTTTCTTGATGATTGAAAGTCTTTTTCATATGCACATGTAAGAACATCTTTATATAATTGTTCAGCTTCAATGTATTTTTGTTGTTTTAAATAAGTTGATGCAAGATTATTTTTTGTTTTAATGACATTTGGATCATTAGATCCAAAATTTTTTGTATAAATATCAATAGTATGTTTATAATATGATTCAACTTCATCATATTTTCCTTGATTTTGACAAATGAAAGCAAGATTATTAAGCTGTTTAGCGACATCAGGATGTGATGAACCTAAACATTTTTCACGAATTTCAAGTGCACGTTTACATAATGATTCAGCTTCTTTAAATTTATTACGTTTACCTAGAAATAGTAGAAGATAATATTGTTTTTACTGGAATAAAAAGACATAATATACTATAAAGAACAGCAAGATTATTTAATGTGGCTGCTACAGCTGGATGATCATATCCAAGTGTTTTTTCTCGAATAGCAAGTGCATCATAGAGTAATGAACTTGCTTCTTGAAATTTTGATTGATCACGATAGACAAGTGCAAGAATATTGAGCATTGTCGCAACATCAGGATCTAAATGAGAAGAAATTTATTCCTAACGAAATTTAAACTTCTTTCAAATGCTTGGTAGTACGAGGAGAGACGTTTTTCAAAATAGAACAAATAAAAACATGTTGTAATTCAGTTCATTTTCAACGTTTGTAATTGCAATAATTTGTCTGTTTAAAATATCTATGTTACACAATTCATAGAACTTTTTCATATAGACAATTTTATTGTCCTTATTTGGAATAAAACAAAAATAAGTAAAGTTTTTTCTTGATAAATATGTAAGACAATTAAATATTGATTCAAGACTGATCTACAATTCATCTGTTTGTTTTTCAGTATTCATAGACTCACATAAAATCCAATGATTTGTTTTGGAAAATCTATTATATTCGTTTCCAACTTTAAGAAAGTTTCATACAGATCTAAATAATGACAATCAAAGATTTTCTCTTCATATTTTTGAATCAATAATGCCAATGAATTATGACCTTATTAAGAAATTCTATCAAATCTAGATAAAAATTTTATTGAATTTTGTTCTATTAGAATCTCTATTGCTTTTCTGCCTGTCTGAACATGACACTTCTCACATTATCCATGTTACACCTTGGCAGAAATGATACCGGTACAGATTTCAGATGTGTCGTTACCGATGTGTCTTATTAGTTGTTTTCCTCTTAGTATCTTATAAAGGACGTGTAATGACATTTTGTTGAAAGCTGATTATGTCAAATATCACTATCCACATAATGGAATAGTACGACAACTTGTCAGTCCAGCATCGGGATAGATTTCAGAACGGTTTCATCTCTGCGCCTCGGTGTTTTAATATTTTTAGTAAATATCTCGTATAACACAACACATTTAGAAATTCACTTACGTTGATGTCCTAATGTTTTCTCGAGATCTTCAAGTGCTTGTCGACATAAAGATACAGCTACTTCATGTCGTCCCTGAGATGTATATTCCGTAACTAAACTATGTAAAGTTTTTAATCTATTTGGTATTTCATAACCATTTGCTGAAATAAATGATTCATTCGTAGATTGTGATGATAATATTAATAGATCAGCATCAGAATCAATTTTATTCAAATGATTTTGTTGATGATCTAAAGAAATATCTTGTTCATTATCATCTAATGAAAATAAATCATTAATAAGATCTTGTTCATGAATTTGGTCATCATTATCAAATAGTTTAATATCTTTTAAGAATTTTAAATTTTCAAGTTCAACAGTATAAGAAGCATTGATTTGTTCAGATTCGTGTAACTTTTTTTGTGTTGATCCTAATTCATCACGTAACCAAGCATTTTCTTGACATAAACGTTTCACTTGTATACGTAATTTATGTTTTTCACTTTCAAGATTTTGTAAATGATTATCTATTTGCATCATTACTTGAGCTTCATCAATTCCTATTTAAATTATGAAAAATGTTGATTTCAAAAAAGTTTTTTTTTTTACAAACCTAAATCAATCATATTCATTGATTTTTGAATTAAACCAATTTTTTCTTCGATTTTATTTGTTGATAATATTTTCGTCGAATGAACAATATTTTCAAGAATTTTTTCATATTCATTTTTAAGTGCATCAAGTCCTTGACTAACAAATTTTGCTGTTTGAAATATATCGTCTTCATTCATTTCATGTACATAGATCTTTACATCTGAAAGCCGGAGAGAAAATCTTGTTATCTATAAGAAAGAAAAGCAAAAACAATAGATTCTGTTGTGTCTCATAGCATTAACATTTGTGGAAATGATCATCAATTTATTCGAAAGTATTTCAATAATTCACAAGGGAAAGATTTAATATACAAAATAAAAGCATGATGAAAGATACCTCTCAAAACGCTAATGAAAGAATGATATATATGGCCCCTATGCCCATCATTACTATAGTAATATGTTGAGAATAACAATAAAAGCGACTTTTCCTCTTCTCAACAATATTATTGTTATTCGTAGAGAGCCATAGAAAATAGTCAAGAAGCATGTAGAAAAGACAGAGAGACATCTGCGTATGTAGGTTTCGTAAATAAGATGACAGAGATGTGTATTATTTGTTTTTAGTTGATAATATCAGGCAAAAACAACAGAGAATGATCTCTAGTGTATGACATTATCAAATGTTATTTTCTGTCAGTTCTTTATCTCAATAATCAATATGAGACAAATGCTATTTGAAGAAATACATCATTCAATAAAACATACATTTCCTCATTCTTGTTTAATTATAACGATGTTTTGATTTTATCATTTAGATATTTGTCAAAAAAACTGTTTCTATAATGATTCATTGTTTTATATAATAAAACAAGTCAATCATATTTCATTTAATATTTATTATGTATTTAAGACATTTAATTTACTTTTATTTAATAGTTTTCTTGATTTATTTATTGAATAATTTAAAAAAAGAAATATAGAAATATTAGATGATGATGATAAATGATTCGAAACAATAGTTCTTTATCAAAAAAAAATTCAAAAATCCTCTCCAACATGTTTTCTTCGAAAGTAACTTTTAAATACTGACACAGAGTTAGTAGTTGACCTTTATTATGAAATGGAAGTTAATATCGAGAAAAAAATTGATTCAAGATTCATTGTCTCAATAAATTCATAAGAACAAGTCTTGCTAAATCAACAATTTTATTTAAATTGAATACAATACATGCTGTGAAGAAATAAATTGCATCATTTGGAAAGCATTTTACTTTAACAAACAAACATAAAAATAATATCTTTTTTTTTTTAAATAAAATATTCGTTTTTTATTACGAAATGTTTTATTGAGCTAATTGTTTTTATGAGCTTTTATCTTTTGTTGATGGAATATTTCGTGGTCCAACAATAATATTTACATTTGTTTTTGGATAATGCTCAGTTAGTACAGGAATAAATCTTTCAGAACTATATTTGATTTCTTTATATTTATTTAATATATCACAACGTATACCATAACAAAGATTTTGATCAATTTCTTCATCATTATAGTAGAGTGTAAATGGTATTGGAAAATAATCACAATTATCTAATTTAATATTCGATAACACATGTCGATGAGGAATATGTGGAAAATCAATACGAGTCCATTCCCAAAGTGTTATATCACAAAGAGTAATAATAACAACATCATCAGCTTCTAAAACACAATGATCATTCGAACTTTCGATAATACCACAAAGTGTACGTCGAACCGTTTCACTTGTACTTCGACAAAGTGTTGCCGATTCTATCAAAATACGATATTTACATCAAAATAAAATAAAGAAATATTTTATTCAATTATGCTTCCTATGAAAAACTAACTTGTGTACTTTCATACCTGCAAATCAAAAGATAAATAAGTTAACTTACTTTGTTTGTTCATTTTTGAATTAATAGTCTTTCTATTATTTTTAATTAAGTAGTTAATAAGATTCAATGAATAGATAAATAATACAATGAGAATTTTAACGGCCTAGTATGGAACAATATATATAATTTTTCCGAGAATAATCAAACACAGAAATGATTAGAAATGTTACGGACGAGGTCTCTTTTTCTTTTCTCTTTGATTTTGTTATCTTAGGTGTTAAAGAAACAACGAATCAGTTAGTAAGACTGAGTGTCGACACTTTTTTTCTCCTTTTTTTGATTCTTCTATTTTTTTCAAGGACATTTATATCGTTTTCTAAGATATCACATTTAAGAAAAATGTGTATATGTAGTCAGGAAACGACGTTTTCGTCTGTGTTTGAAGTGATCTTGTTCTCGTTTATATTAAAAAAAA